TATTTTAACTTATCGAAAATATACATCGAAAAAAAATAGTGAGAAGTTCTTTTCTTTTCTTTTTTTGCTTTCTTTTCGTTTTTGAATTTAATACAAAATTAGTGAAGTGACAAAGATAGTGAATATACAATCCATCCATTCATCCATACATACATACATACATACATATAGAGCAACACCATCATATATTAACAATACATATGGTGCTAATTAATAAATGATAATGAGCAATTTATTTCCTATTAAATGTACATATGTTCGGTCGTGTATATCTCTCTCCATACCTGCATGTATTTACGTATCAATGTATATATATATATATATATAGTAATAAATATGTTAAACAGCAATAGGGAAAAAAAAAACTGCTTTTAACAATAATTTTGGAGGAAATCAATCATTTAATTACATTACTAATTACATTACTGAATTGATAACATAAAGTTCAGTAATTCACTTATTCCAAAAATAAAATAAAATCATTTATTCCGATGTAATAAAACACGGTGGGGGGAAGGGGGGGGGGGAAAAAAAAAGAAGATAAGTAAATAGTAACATTAATAATAATCATTCAACAATATTAAACTGTCGCCTAATAAGCGAAAGTATAACTATTCCTTCTTTTCTTTTTCCATATTATTCATTATTTCTAACACTTCTCTTTCACTTCCTAATTAATTATAATAAATAATTAGTTAAGCAAAATCAATCATAATGCGCGACAAAAAGAAAAAGAGTAGGGAAAGAACAAAATATAATGAAAATACAAATATATACTAAATATGAAATTAATCAAAAGACACAAAAATAAAATTAAAATTGTTTTGGCAAAAATCCTTTTTATTAGAAAAAAAAGAAAAGAATTAGCAAAATTCTGGCCTAATTTCATCACCTCGTGTCAAAATTGAAATACACAAATTTCCTAAAATAAAAATATGCTAAAGTTATTTCTTTTAATCACATACTAATAATAGTCATCATTTGTACCCATAAAGCATCAAATAGTAGCAGTTGATGGCAGTTAGGAGTAGTGGCAGCAATAGTAGCAGTAGTAGTAGTAGTAGTAGCAGTAGTAGTAGTAGTAGTAGCAGTAGTAGTAGTAGTAGTAGTAGTAGTAGCAGTAGTAGTAGTAGTAGCAGCAATAGTAGTAGTAATAGTGTTTTTAGCTATGTAATAGCAGTAATTGTATAACATGCCATTTGTGGCCTGGAACCAAAAAGTAAACATTCGTCAACAAACCATCCACCAGTTTTCTTCCTCTCATTCCATGTCACTACGACTACTATTACTACTGCTGACGCTACACTACTGCTACTACAACCACTACTACTACCGCTGCAATTACCACTACTACTGCTATTACTACTATTACTACTACCACTACTACTACTACTGCTATTACTACTGCTACTACTACTGCTACTACTAACTTACTACTACTACTACTACTACTACTACTACTACTACTACTACTACTACTACTACTACTACTACTACTACTACTACTACTACTACT